ATTTACAAGCACCTCGAGCAATACGAACCACAAAAACCGAAGTTTGACAGAAGAGACCCATGTCAAACGGTCAACAGCGAGTTACAAAATCTTTTAAAAGCCCTTTTTGCTAAGTGCGAATTGACGAAAGCTTAGCGAAATGCAAGAATCACTTAAGAGCCCTCTTCACAAGGCAACCTTGGGTTAGTCAAACGGGCATCGTGTGTATAGCCCCGTCATACTATCGAAGTGAACATGTTGAAATGTATGCTGACGTGTGAAAAATCAATGTTTGCGTGCTCGATACTACATACAACAACTACCGTTTCAAAAAAAAAACATTATCAGTACATGGTAGCTATTTACAATGTAAACAACACCCAACTAGAGATATCAATACCACAAACTCATAAACAAGCCATAAATAACTCAGTGGATTCCAACAAAAAACAGTACTTTGCATCATTTTTTCTTCATAAAAACGTGGCATAACGCTGGTCACTCTTTGGCAACCTTCTGCATGAGACCATCGTTTAGGAGGGCTGCATACCCTCTTGACGTTGTTATGTGCCTAGTGATACACCATAAAGTACCCACCTTAGTCAATATTTTGAGGCAATAATGGTTCACATCTATGCTCGACATTTGATTATTGTACATTTTCTGAAGTCATAACCATAGGCTGTGTTATTATAAAAGTAGTTGAGTACATAGCTTACCATACAAAACTGTATTGGAACTAAGAAGATAGTAGCTATTATCAGAGACTACCATTGATTACCGTTGAAGGTCCCTAACCATTATCTTGGGCCCTTTTTATATGAAGGAATTCTTAATACGATTCCAGTGATCCATTCATTTTATTGGTTTCAAGCAAGATCACTGTTGTGAAGAACATTTTGAGAAGGGTAATGTAGGCTCATGCATAATTTCATACTTTGTAAATTAAAATCTTCAATAAACTCTTTATACTGTATACATTTGTAACACACCTTCTTGATATCCATACGGTAGAGAAAATTTATACAATTGGCAGCATATATCTTCAGTAACATAAACATTTCATTGCATTCATTGGCATTTGATAGTCCGATTAAATAAATGTTTGATACTCATAAATAAACGTTGTTTTATCTTCATTTCTATGTTTTAATACTTCAAAAATAAATCATCTAATTGGAACTGTGAAGAAAATAGCTATTAACATATACCAATATTATTTAGCCTAAGTAAATTATTTTACAGTTCTATTTGTATCATCCATTCATCAATCTTATATGTTAACGGAATGTCGGCGTTCATCGACACTCTTTTTTTAACCTCGAGTTGTTATCGATATGGTAATGTGTGACACCACGATTGGTTCCATTCTGAGCTGGCTTTGATTTTGCTAATTCTGACGTGTCTTGTGTTGTACCATGCTCCCGATGCGGCTTCTGTACCTGCCCCGTCAGCGATTCATGGGCTGATGTTCATTAGTTCCTCGAGCCAACACGGAACTGCTGATTTGGTGAAGCATGCGGTTTTGCAGATAGCCTCGACGATGATGATTGGGATACCGAGACTGAACCAGCTGCCGAACACATGTCAAACATAATACGTGGGCAATTCAGTCCATGAACGGCTGGCTGCGATTGGTGCTAATTTTCCAACTGTGAAATGCCAGGATACATTGAACATTGCATCCACGGTGACGTCAGAATGGTGCATGCATGCCGTTAATCGGAAACCTTATCCCTTATTGTTTCGACGGGGAGTAACCAACGATACCCTAAACCACGTGTACACGTTCGCGCATGCTCACGACCATTATCCCTATTGGTCCGCGTTCGCGATGCGCATGTTCAATTGCTAATGAATCTGTCAAAACAATGACTGCCATTTGGCGCTCAATGAACCTTCGACTGAATGACGCAATGTTGAGCCTAAACGAGGATAAGTCACACGTAGGCTTGGCAACCCAGCACTACGCTGGTTTGGTTCCTACAATGTGGGAGGCTCTCGGTTGGGTTCCTGGCAAAAAGTTCCGATATGCGTACACTTACATGTACACTACCTAATTGAAGTCGAAATGTCGTGAGCGCGTACCACGCGGGATAGAAGGTGGAGTGCGTGAGTTTCGGGTTGTGGAAAAATTTGAGCGCGATGAGAAAAATTCACGAGACCAAAGCCCGCGCCGCGGCAATTCTCTCTGGTTGTCGCGAGGTAAAAGCTTGCTGCGATTGGCGGCGGCATCGGACGGCTAGCGATCGCCCGGAAGAGAAAGAGACGACACGCGACGGGATAATGCGGCACGCCGGTGAGCGAACGATGGCGACGCGTGTGGGGCGTGTCGCACGGCGATGTACGTCGCCAGTAGGAACGATCTAACGGACTGAACAAAAATCTTGCTGATCGATTGAAATTACAAAATGGAAATCCAAGAAGCAACGATGCACATAGAGGCATCTGGAAAGGGAACCGCGCATGAGAAAAGGTACGCGTCTAGAGCTTCTCCTCTTGGCTGCTAAATGAACGTTTGTCCTGACAAATGAAGCTCGTGAAGTTCTCAACCGCACCGCATCCCCGTAAAAATGGGTTGCTGGTAGGTGCTTTGTGCGGTTTCCTAACTTTCGTTTCCGAACCTCCCATGGCTCGCCTTGGAGGGAACGAGCCTTGATGCTTTTTCTGTTGTACTTCCACTGTCCGCTAGTTCCCAAACCTAGTAGCGAGACAAAGGCCCTGTTCGGCAGCACTTCTGCTGCCATGCACTTCTCACCAGCAATCGAACTAATCTGAACGACAAAACAGCCTCGACCCGAAGCTAGGCTTACTACAAAACAAAATCAACGTGGAGTACTGTTCCACTCTTTCAGCTATGCAACCAGACATGCAAACGTGGGGTACCTCTCACATGATGCACACAACAGACAATACCCCACACAGCCAATCTCGAAACCCAACAACCACAATCACAGGTTCCTTGCTTCGAGGAACCTGGTGAAAAAATTCCAGGAAGGAGCACATTTTGTGCTCTGGCCAATAGGCTCGCTGCATGACTCTCACAATGAACTAACAATCGTGCCCACCCACGTAGAAAGCAGGATCAGCACTGGACCGAGACCCAACCAGCATTGCACATGAATTTGCCCGTAAATTACTGTGCATTTCATGTTGGTTGGCACTGTTGCGTGGTACTGGATCCAACAACAAAACTAATACGAAAATGAAACTGGTTGTGAAGTACGTTCGGAAGTGCGACCAATCGTAGGGAATTTTTACAGGTCAGCATGAGTCAGCAAGAGTGCCGAGCCATCAATCAAACCAGGTTTGTTCGATTTGTGGTTGGTATCCGGTTGGTTCTGATGGCTTTTTCGTGCTGCCGAACAGGGCCAAACCTTGGTTGAACCAGACCAAGTTTGGCGGGAAGGCTCGCGCGGAAAAGAAAGGTTGGTGCAGGCAAACCAAGGAAACCCCCAAGGAGCGTTTTCCTGTGCGGGACGCTTCCTCTCCTTCCTTAGGGCGTATTCCTGCACTTCGGTTCATCAGCACTTCGGGTCTTCCGAGATTGTGGGATCCAATCGAAAAATCGAAATGCACCCCAATCTCTTGATTCCGAACTTCCGATTGGATCCCACAATTTCGGATGACCCGAAGTGCTGATGACCCGAAGTGCAGGAATACGCCCTTAGAGGAACGAGTGCCCAGCAGAAGCTGACCTTCGAAGCTTCATGAGCATAGCCGTGGCGGCCTTGCGGAACTGAACTGCGAGCTTGGATAGTCAAGCCATCTCCAGACTCGAAATAGCAGCTGCTGAAAGCGCAGGTTTTGCTGACTGAACATTTTTCCAGGTGGGACGCACGCATTCCCCGAGTGACCCAACGTTGTTCCACGTGAGTCCGCAGTTTCACATTCGCAGCAATCACTCCTAGGTTGTCTTAGTCACGAACAACACACGAAACTGACCTTGTATCCTCGCTGAAGCCGTGGTATTCTATATCACACTCGCGTGGTCCAATCCATTTAGGCCTCAGGTTCACGTCAGCTGCCAGTTGGTGCACATGACTGTTCTCATGGACTCCAGTAGTGGAACGCACATCCACGATCTCCTAGACGACGTTCTCATCAGGATCTTGTGGCCTTCCAAGCAGTCAGTCATTTCTTGCACATCGGATAGCGATGCTCTGTGCAACTTTGTCACGCCCAGGTCTAATCATCTATACACGGACGCTACTCCAGACACTGCGATGCCGACCCCTCCTGCCTCTGCAGATGCTGCTCACAATCTCTTCATCGCATCCATCTGCCGTCGCTGGCGGCGTCTCGCTCAGAGGCATGTTTCGACGCTTCTCGTCAAAGAAGACCGCGTAGTTTCTCGTCAGGATGTCCTCACCGCCGTCGCTTGCTTCCCGAATTTAACCCACCTGCATCCGTCGGACGGAAGTGTTGAAACGCTGGACAACTCGTTTCTAGCTGACCTCCCCTCTTTGTGTCCTGGGCTGAGAGCGCTGCACGTGGGGAAGTTGATGATGGCAGCGGACAACGGACAGCACGGAAGGAGGCACCGTTTTATAACCAAGTCTGGCTTGGACTATTTCTTCCGCCATTGCACTCAACTGGAGCAGCTGTCGTACTGTATTGAGGAAAATCAGAACCCACCAGCTTCGTTTTTTCAGCTTCAACATTTGAGCATCCTCGTCTTGACCAATACTTGGATCTTAAAGTCTCCAAACCTCAGCCGCCTTTCGTCTCTCACTGCAGTCTCCATTGAAGCCTCCTCTCTTCACTACGACCAGCTTTTCAGCCTCCTTCAACTCACCAACCTCACCCGCCTCTCCTTGCCTGATAAAATTCGCCTTATTTCACCAGGTCCGCCTGCCTTCTCACTCGCCCAGCTACCTGCTCTCGAGTCTCTCAAGTTTGGACTGCACGGTGCTCAGTTCAGCGTTTTTCACACTCTTGAATCGCCATACAGCTCCCTGAAACGCCTGCAGCTCAGCAAGTGCTTCAGCCAAGAGCGGCTTCCAGACAGTATAGGAGAGATGCTGCCGTGCCTCCAAGAGCTCAGCATCAGCGGGTGCAAAAGCTTCCGTGACTTGACTGATGAGTTCACCTCCCTCACCTGCCTGGAGAGCTTGACCATTTCCTCTTGCCCCGTGTCCACTCTACCTGAAAACTTCGGCAACCTGCCAGCCTTGAAAACGCTGGTGCTGCGCACCCTGCGGCTTAGCCATTTCCCTGCTTCCTTCACCAGACTCGCATCTCTGGAGTCGCTTTTTGTGTTTTGGTGCATCGGGGTGGACACGCTACCTGCAGGGTTTGGCCGCCTCACTGCACTGCAGACTCTCAGCCTTGAATGGCTGATGAATCTGGACCTTCCAGAAGATTTGGGGGGACTCACCAATCTCCAAACCTTCCATCTCACCAAAAACACGGAAGAGCAGCTGCCGCCCTCATTCACGCAGCTGGCGTCACTGACCAGGTTGGAGCTGGATCGGTGCGAGATTGCCGAGCTTCCTGCGGGCATGGCGGAGATGACAAACCTGCAGGAGCTTTGTCTTCGGAAGTGCCCGGCCATCAACGAGCTTCCGGAATTTGTGACGGCGCTGGTCAACCTTCAAGTGCTGAGGATTCAGGAGTGTCGCCGTCTCTCATCGGTTCCCAGGAGGCTGGACAGCCTCACCAGGCTGAAAGAGTTGGAGCTGAGGAAATGTTGGCTGCTGAGAGAAGCCCCACAGGTTCTGCCATTCAGTCTCCAGGCACTATCTTACTTCGAAAACAGTCAGCACATGGTGTCTCCGCCAGACATTTCAAGGCTTACCGAGCTCAGGGTATTGTTCTTGGGCATCATCCGTGCACCGTTTCTTGTCGCCATTGCTGCCAGCCTCGCTTCTCTCCCCACCTGCAGGTGCAGCTGGGCGAAGATGCAGAGGGGTTTCTGTCCCTGTTGGCAAGGCTACCTCGCCTCCGCGTCTTGACGCTCAAGGAGGCCCGCAGCTTGAACAGGCTGGTGGAATCTGACGGCCCGCCGTTGCAGGAGCTACGGCAGCTGAACATCCACACCACGGGTGAAGAACTCACGGCACTGCCTGCTGCCATCACCACTCTCCACCGCCTCACATCCATTCAGATCCATGCGCGGAGGTTATCTTCCCTTCCAGATGCCATTGGGGCATTCTCAAGGCTGCGCAGGCTGGACTTATCCAACTGCTGGTCCCTCACGCATCTCCCTGCTTCCCTCACGCAACTCTCCTGCCTGCATCATCTCAACATCAGCAACACCCACATCCGCCTGCTTCCTGCTGGCTTTGCTCAGCTCAGCAGACTGAAGTTCCTTGACCTTCAGAATTGCAAGCAGCTTCTGGCTCTGCCTTACGACATAGGAGATCTTAGAATGCTCCAACAGCTTCTAATCAAGGGCTGTGACATGCTCCATATTTGACTACTCAGCAGTGACCACTGCAAGTGCCTTTCACAACTCATAAGCTTAGTCTCCTGCCCAAGTTAGTGACTGCATGCTAGCATGATCAGGCTCCACTACTCTTAAGAGCATACGACTGAGATTTAACTGAGTGTATTACCTTACAGCCTTGGAATATTGGGTTAGAAGTTTTCTGAACATGAACAGGAGTTCTTACTGAATTTTATTATTGGCTCGAAGAATATCGATACAATACACCACTCGAATTAGCCACGCATGATTCAACAAGGCATGCTTCAAGCAGGCATGATTCAGCCAGGCATGATTCAGCCAGGCATGATTCAGCCAGGCATGATTCAACCAGGCATGATTCAGCCTGGCATGATTTAGCATGGCATGATTCAGGGAGGCATGATTCAGCCAGGCATGATTCATCCAGGCATGATTCAGCCAGGCATGATTCAGCCAGGCATGATTCAGCCAGGCATGATTCAGCCTGGCATGATTCAGCCAGGCATGATTCAGCCTGGAATGATGCAGCAAGGCTTGATTCAGCCAGGTATTATACAGCCAGGCATGATTCAGCCAGGCATGATTCAACCAGGCATGATTCAACCAAGCATGATATAGCAAGGCATGATTCAGCCACGCATGATTCAGCAACGCATGATTCAACCAGGCATGATTCAGCAAGGCATGATTCAGGCAGGCATAATTCAGCAAGGCATGATTCAGCCAGGCATGATTCAACCAGGCATGATTCAGCCAGGCATGATTCAGCCAGGCATGATTCAGCCAGGCATGATTCAGCCAGGCATGATTCAGCCAGGCATGATTCAGCCAGGCATGATTCAACCAGGCATGATTCAGCCAGGCATGATTCAGCATGGCAAGATTCAGGGAGGCATGATTCAGCCGGGCATGATTCAACCAGGCATGATTCAGCCAGGCTTGATTCAGCAAGCCATGATTCAGGGAGGAATGATTCGGGCAGGCATCATTCAACCAGGCACGATTCAGCAAGGCATGATACAGCCTGGCATGATTCAGCCAGGCATGATTCAGCCAGCCATTTTTCAGCAAGGCATGATTCAGCCAGGCATGATTCAACCAGCTATGATTCAGCCAGGCATAATTCAGCCAGGAATGATTCAGCCAGGCATGATTCATCCTGACATGATTCAGCATGGCATGATTCAGGGAGGCATGATTACGCCAGGCATGATTCATCCAGGCATGATTCAGCCAGGCATGATTCAGCCTGGCATGATTCAGCCAGGTATTATGCAGCCAGGCATGATTCAGCCAGGCATGATTCAACCAGGCATGATTCAACAAGGCATGATATAGCAAGGCATGATTCAGCCACGCATGATTCAGCAACGCATGATTCAGCAACGCATGATTCAACCAGGCATGATTCAGCCAGGCATGATTCAGCCAGGCATGATTCAGCCAGGCATAACTTAGCTTCGCATGATGCAGCAAGGCATGATTCATCCAGGCATGATTCAGCCAGGCATGATTCAGCCAGGCATGATTCAACCAGGCATGATTCAGCCAGGCATGATTCAGCCAGGCATGATTCAGCCAGGCATGATTCAGCCAGGCATGATTCAGCCAGGCATGATTCAACCAGGCATGATTCAGCCTGGCATGATTCACCATGGCATGATTCAGGGAGGCATGATTCAGCCAGGCATGATTCAGCCATGGAGGCATGATTCAGCCAGGCATGATTCATCCAGGCATGATTCAGCCAGGCATGATTCAGCCTTGCATGACTCAGCCTTGCATGATTCAGCCTTGCATGATTCAGCCTTGCATGATTCAGCCTGGCATGATTCAGCCAGGCATGATTCAGCAAGGCACGAATCAGTCAGGCATGATTCAACCAGGCATGATTCAGCCAGGCATGATTCAGCCAGGCATGATTCAGCCATGCAGGCTTGATTCAGCAAGGCATGATGCACCAAGGCATTATTCAGCCAGACCTTATTCAGGCAGCCATGATTCAGCCAGGCATGATTCATCCAAGCATGATTCAGCCAGGCATGATTCAGCCAGGCATGATTCAGCCAGGCATGATTCAGCCAGGCATGATTCAGCCAGGCATGATTCAGCCAGGCATGATTCAGCCAGGCATGATTCAGCCAGGCATGATTCAGCCAGGCATGATTCAGCCAGGCATGATTCAGCCAGGCATGATTCAGCCAGGCATGATTCAGCCATGCATGATTCAGCCAGGCATGATTCAACCAGGCATGATTCTGCCAGGCTTGATTCAGCAAGCCATGATTCAAGGAGGCATGATTCGGGCAGGCATCATTCAACCAGGCACGATTCAGCAAGGCATGATTCAGCCTGGCATGATTCAGCCAGGCATGATTCAGCCAGGCATGATTCAGCCAGGCATGATTCAACCAGGCATGATTCAGCCAGCCATTATTCAGCAAGGCATGATTCAGCCAGGCATGATTCAACCAGGCATGATTCAGCCAGGCATGATTCAGCCAGGCATGATTCAGCCAGGCATGATTCAACCAGGCATGATTCAGCCAGTCATGATTCAGCCAGGCATGATTCATCCAGGCATGATTTAGCCCGGCATGATTCAGCCAGGCATGATTCAACCAGGCATGATTCAGCCTGGCATGATTCAGCCAGGCATGATTCAGCCAGGCATGATTCATCCAGGCATGATTCAGCCAGGCATGATTCAGCCAGGCATGATTCAGCCAGGCATGATTCAGCCAGGCATGATTCAGCCAGGCATGATTCATCCAGGCATGATTCAGCCAGGCATGATTCATCCAGGCATGATTCAGCCAGGCATGATTCAGCCAGGCATGATTCAGCCTGGCATGATTCAGCCAGGCATGATTCAGCCTGGCATGATTCAGCATGGCATGTTTCAGGGAGGCATGATTGAGCCAGGCATGATTTATCCAGGCATGATTCAGCCAGGCATGATTCAGCCTGGCATGATTCAGCCAGGTATTATGCAGCCAGGCATGATTCAGCCAGGCATGATTCAACCAGGCATGATTTAACCAGGCATGTTATAGCAAGGCATGATTCAGCCACGCATGATTCAGCAAGGCATGATTCAGCCAGGCATAACTTAGCATCGCATGATGCAGCAAGGCATGATTCATGCAGGCATGATTCAGCCAGGCATGATTCAGCCAGGCATGATTCAACCAGGCATGATTCAGCCAGGCATGATTCAGCCAGGCATGATTCAGCCAGGCATGATTCAGCCAGGCATGATTCAACCAGGCATGATTCAGCCAGGCATGATTCAGCCAGGCATGATTCAGCCATGGAGGCATGATTCAGCCAGGCATGATTCATCCAGGCATGATTCAGCCAGGCATGATTCAGCCTTGCATGACTCAGCCTTGCATGATTCAGCCTTGCATGATTCAGCCTTGCATGATTCAGCCTGGCATGATTCAGCCAGGCATGATTCAGCAAGGCACGAATCAGTCAGGCATGATTCAACCAGGAATGATTCAACCAGGCATGATTCAGCCGGGCATAATTCAGCCGGGCATAATTCAGCAGGAATGATTCAGGCAGGCATGATTCAGCAAGGCATGATTCAGCCAGGCATAATTCAGCCTGGCATGATGCACCAAGGCATTATTCAGCCAGACATTATTCAGGCAGCCATGATTCAGCCAGGCATGATTCATCCAGGCATGATTCAGCCAGGCATGATTCAGCCAGGCATGATTCAGCCTGGCATGATTCAGCCTGGCATGATTCAGGGAGGCATGATTCAGCCAGGCATGATTCAACCAGGCATGAGTCAGCCAAGCTTGATTCAGCAAGCCATGATTCGGGGAGGCATGATTCGGGCAAGCATGATTCAACCAGGCACGATTCGGCAAGGCATGATTAAGTCAGGCATGATTCAGCCAGGCATTATTCAGCCATGCATGATTCAATTAGGCATAAATCAGCCGGGCATAATTCAGCCAGGCATGATTCAGGCAGGCATGATTCAGCAAGGCATGATTCAGCCAGGCATAATTCAGCCTGGAATGATGCACCAAGGCATTATTCAGCAAGACATTATTCAGGCAGCCATGATTCAGCCAGGCATGATTCATCCAGGCATGATTCAGCCAGGCATGATTCAGCCAGGCATGATTCATCCTGGCGTGATTCAGCATTGCGTGATTCGGGGAGGCATGATTCAGCCAGGCATGATTCAACCAGGCATGATTCAGCCAGGCTTGATTCAGCAAGCCATGATTCGGGGAGGCATGATTCGGGCAAGCATGATTCAACCAGGCACGATTCGGCAAGGCATGATTCAGTCAGGCATGATTCAGCCAGGCATTATTCAGCCATGCATGATTCAATTAGGCATAAATCAGCCGGGCATAATTCAGCCAGGCATGATTCAGGCAGGCATGATTCAGCCAGGCATAATTCAGCCTGGAATGATGCACCAAGGCATTATTCAGCAAGACATTATTCAGGCAGCCATGATTCAGCCAGGCATGATTCATCCAGGCATGATTCAGCCAGGCATGATTCATCCTGGCGTGATTAAGCATGGCGTGATTCAGGGTGGCATGATTCAGCCAGGCATGATTCAACCAGGCATGATTCAGCCAGGCTTGATTCAGCAAGCTTTGATTCATCCAGGCATGATTCAGCCAGGCATGATTCAACCAGGCATGATTCAGCCAGGCATGATTCAGCCTGGCATGATTCAGCCAGGCATGATTCAGCCAGGCATGATTCAGCCAGGCATGATTCAACCAGGCATGATTCAGCCAGGCATGATTCAGCCTGGCATGATTCAGCCAGGCATGATTCAGCCAGGCATGATTCAGCCTGGCATGATTCAGCCAGGCATGATTCAGCCTGGCATGATTCAGCCAGGCATGATTCAGCCAGGCATGATTCAGCCAGGCATGATTCAACCAGGCATGATTCAGCCAGGCATGATTCAGCCTGGCATGATTCAGCCAGGCATGATTCAGCCAGGCATGATTCAGCCTGGCATGATTCAGCCTGGCATGATTCAGCCAGGCATGATTCAGCCAGGCATGATTCAGCCATGGAGGCATGATTCAGCGAGTGGGTGGACTTGACCTCAAGGACGTTCTTCTCAATCATGGCAAGGGAAAACAACCCCCCATCCCCAAGGAGCCGTCCGATCCAACCGATGCCGTGGCAACCCAGGAGTACGAGAACTCTGTTGCCAAGTATCGCAAGTGGGAGAAGGCCGATGCGGCTATCATTAGCGTCTTCATCGGCTCCACTCCTCCCGAACTTGTCAACACGTTCCACAACTACCCCACTTCCAACACCATTTGGAAGCATCTCCAGGACAGGTTCATGAATAAGACGGCGGTCGGGGTGGCCATCCTCATTCCTAGCATGTTTCAAGTCCGCCTTGAGGACTACCTGGGTATGGCCGACTACATCGCCAAGGTGCAAACCATCCATGGCGAGCTCAAGGAGCTAGGTATCATCTTCCCCGAACAAGCTCCTGCAGCCGCCCTTCTTGTTGGCCTCACCTCGGCATACGAAGTCACAAGGAAGATGCTCCTCACGTCCTCGGCGGAAGACCTCACCTTTGCTAAGGTATCCTCCGTCCTCCTCTCCGCCGAGAAAGACTCCTCGGCCCAAGCCAAGGCCTACGCCCTCCGTGCTCCCGTGCCTCAAGCAAGTGTCGCATCGGCACTCGCCTCGGCGCCCTTTCAGCGCAACCGCTTTCCTCCATGCACCTACATCGTAAAGTATGGCAACCGCAAGGGACAAGTGTGTGGTGGCACTAACCACCCCCTCGCCACGTGCTTCAAGAAGAAAGACGACGAATGGTATGCCATCCACGGAGTAGACAAGAAGCCGCCGAACTGGATGCGCCCTCGTAAGGCCAACCTAGTTGAGGTCCAGGACCCCGCTTCGGCTAGTGCTAGTGATAGTGCTCCTGCTGATGTGCGTATCAACCTGTTGTTCCCTGGCACTGCCATGATTAATGAAGCAACCTCCCAGTACATCGGCTCATCACAAGCACCACAATACATAGAATTCACACTCGACAGCGGGGCCACTCACACTGTGCTCAAGGAGACACTCTCCTTCAAACCCTACGCAACACCCATTCCTCTCCTGGGAGCTGATTCAAGCTTCACCACCCTTGCCAAGGGTTCATCCACAGTCCCATGCCCCGCCTTCCCATCCGGCACTGTCACTGGCATGTGCGTGCCTTCACTACGCCACAATCTAGTGGCTCAAACGAAAATTCAGGAGGCGGGGTTACGCACCATCTTCTCGGAGAATGAGGACTATTGCGACATCATCGATCCACTCACCAACAAGGTCTTGGCCCGCTTCACCCTCAATAGCAGCGGCCTTTACACGCTGCGCGTACCTATCCCACAGGTGTCAACCACCCAAGCACAGGCTACTACCACACCATGCTCATGTCGCAGCTTCTCCAATCCGACCATCCTCTACCACCATCGGCTCGGGCACCCAAACTTCCGCACGCTTGCTGACATGGCCTCCAAGAAACTTCTTCTCGACCTGCCAGCCTCACTTCCCCCACCACCTGACTCACCAGCTCCCACGTGCCTTGACTGCATCAAGAGCAAACTACGCCAACAGCCCCACCCTGCCTCACCCTCGGTCGCAACAGCACCACTGGACCTAGTGCACATGGACGTTTGTGGCCCTGCCCCTGTTCCCGCACGAGGTGGCCATCGCTACTTCCTTGCTATAGTTGATGACCACTCCCGCTACGTCTCTGTTCACCTCCTCCACACTAAGGCTGAGGCTCCAGAGGTCATCATGGCGTGGGTCCATCAGGCACAGACCACCTTTGACCACAAGGTCGTGCGCCTTCACTCGGATGGGGGTGGTGAATTTTGCAACGACAAGCTCAAAGCCTTCTGCTCCTCAGAAGGCATCCAGCAAAACTTCACCCTTCCTGACAGCCCGCAGCAGAACGGCATAGCAGAAAGCCGCAACCACACCCTGGTGCAAATCACTCGGTGCCTCCTCAGCCACTCCAACGCTCCACTCTTTCTCTGGGGGTACGCCCTCTACCACGCCGCCCTCCTGTACAACCTCTACCCCCACCCGCATCTTCCCGACACCACTCCAACCACACTCTGGCTCGGGAAAACGCCCACTGCTCGCTCTCTTCGCGTCTGGGGGTGCACCGCCTATGTCCTCCTCAACCCTCAGGCTAGGCGGCAGCACGGCGGCAAACTCGGTCCCAAGACTCAAACGTGCATCTACCTTGGGCACAACGCCGACTCCCCTGACTATCTCTTCCTCAACCCCTCCACTCAACAGTTAGTCCGGAGCCGCGACGTTGTCTTTGATGAGACCCGCCCATTCTACTCCACCTCGGGACCGGATCCTCCCTCCGATCCACCCTCTCTCGCGTGGGCGGACTTTGATGCCCCTCCTGAACTCCCGCCTGCACCGGACCCCCTCACCTCCTCCCTCTCCTGCCATCGCACCATCTCCCTCTGAGGTCACTGACCCGGCCTCACCGGTGTCTTCGGCAGCTGCTCCTCCCTCCCCCTCACCTTCCCCACTCTGCAAACTGCGCCGCCACCTCCGAGCACACCAATCACATACCATCGGCGGTCAAACCCTCCGGCCCCACCTCCTCCCCCAGTCCCCCCTCCTACCCAGGAACCCGCTCTCCCACAGCCGCCCGAACTGATTACGTACCAGCGGCGGCCAATTCCCCCGCCCAAGCCTCCTAAATCAACCCCTCCGACACCTCCTGCTCCACCCTCTTCTCTGGTGGCTCATGGCACTCGCTCGCATGGCCCTGCTCCTCCACTGGCACTGGCTATCCGTTGCTCAGCGATCACTCCGACTCCTCATGCTGGGGGGGATGTGCCCTCAACCCTTTTGGAAGACATGCATGAGGAGCTGTGTGATCTTCACGCAGTCATTCCCCAGCTCTCGCACATCTTCCCCGACATCACTGAATAACCCTCACTCAATTTCACGGAGAACCCGACCATCCCTATCCCTCTCACCGTCCAAGAGGCTCTCTCGGGTCCCCATGCTGCCGAATGGCGTGCTGCCATGGAAGCTGAGATTGAAGCCTTCACTCGCAACCACTCCTTCGACGACGAAACTCCACCTCCAGGAGTTAACATCGTTGGTGGCAAGTGGCTGTTTCGAGTGAAACAGCTTCCGGACGAAGCCTCGGTGTTCAAAGCGCGTTACGTGGCCAAGGGATTCACTCAGCAGCAGTACCTGGATTTCTTTGAGACCTTCTCCCCCACATCCAAACCACCCACTGTTCGCACGCTCTTGGATGTAGCAGCACGAGAAGACTTTGAGATCAAATCCATGGACGCCTCTTCGGCTTTCCTGCAAGGACGCCTCAAGGAGACTGTATTCATGGATCGACCTGAAGGCTTTCCAGGAGAGTTCCCTCCCAACACTGTCTGGAAGCTGAATCGCCCTGTCTACGGCCTCAAGCAAGCCCCTCGTGAATGGCACAACAAAGTGAAAGAAGTCCTTTTCTCACTTGACTTTCACCCATCCTCTGCCGACCCGACCCTCTTCATTCGTCGTCACTCTGAGCCATTCTACATCCTAGTCTACGTCGATGACTTCATCCTCGTTGCCAAGGACTCGGCCCAGATGGCCACTGTTGCGGAGGCCCTAAGCAAGGCCCTCTTGATGAAAGACCTCGGTGACCTCAAACACTACCTGGGGATGGAGATTACTCGCGATTGCCAGGCTCGCACCATCTCTCTTTCCCAGGAGTTCTACATCAACAATGTGCTCAAGCGGTTTGAGATGGAGCTGTGCACACCTGTAGCCACCCCACTGCCACTGCAACACCTCCTCACTGCCCCAGCTGTACCCATACCAGAGGCATGCACTGAGCCGTACCCAGAGCTGTTGGGTCCCTCATGTACGCCATGATGTGCACCCGGCCTGACCTGACATACCCTGTCAGTGTCCTCTCTCGCTATGTGGCTCCTGGACGCTTCACAGACCTTCATTGGAAAGCGGCAAAGCGGGTGTTGCGCTATCTGCAGGGCACCAAGTCTCATGTCCTCACCCTTGGTGGGCTTTCCCCTCCTCGACTGGAAGGTTACACAGACTCCTCCTGGGCTGATGAAGAGACCGACCAACACTCCTCCCAAGGCTACTGCTTCACCCTTGGGAGCGGGATTGTCAGCTGGCGCTCCACCCGGTCATCTGCAGTCCCCCTCTCGTCCTGTGAAGCAGAGCTCTATGCTGGCACTATGGCGGCGCAAGAGGCTCGCTGGCTCACCTTCCTACTCAAGGAGCTTGGCTTCCCTCAGCCCGCTCCCACCCTCTGGTGTGACAACCAGAGCACCATCCACCTCTCCCAGGATCCCGTGTACCACACTCGCACCAAGCACATCGAACTACGACACTTCTTCATCCGTGACCTTGTCCAGCGAGAGAAGCTAAATGTGGAGTACGTGGCTTCTGACTGCAACTTGGCTGATCTGTTCACCAAGCCCCTTGGGAAGGTTCCTCACCATCGCCTTCTCGGTGCAATGGGTCTCTGCGCTTCATCTTCTCTGCCATCAGTTCGATTGACGCCTATGGGGGGGTGTTAATGTTAGCCCTCAATCTCACATTTGTACTTGTACTTTTATATCCTAGTTTAGTGTAGTTTGCACTTTGTGTTTGGTTGGGTGTACACCCACATCCCAACCAAACCCAAATGTGATCTCCAAGCAATCTCCAACCCACCAATTGGAGATTGCCTTGGGATTACCCCCGATTCCCTAGGATTGCCCCCAATACTCTCTCCACCCCTACCTTGCCCATTTCCAATGTACTTAAGAGCCTTTAGCTCATCACTAGTGTATGGATTCTAAGCTGAAGTTCTAACATCAGCCCAGCATGATTCAGCCAGGCATGATTTAGCCAGGCATGATTCAACCAGGCATGATTCAGCCTGGCATGATTCAGCCAGGCATGGTTCAGCAAGCTATGATTCAGGGAGGCATGATTCGGGTAGGCACGATTCAGCCAGGCACGATTCAGCAAGGCATGATTCATCCTGGCATGATTCAGCCAGGCATGATTCAGCCAGGCATGATTCAGCCAGGCATGATTC